GAGGCAGGGGTGGAAAGGGATAAGGGATGATGTCTGGCTTTTGTGCGAGGGAGCAGGTGAGATTCGGTGGCCCCCCACCCCACTCCCAGGGGGTGAGGTGGGGGGCCAGGGGGTGGGGTGAGGGGCCACCAAATCTCACCTGCTCCCTCGCAAAAAAGCCAGACATTCCCTTATCCCTTTCCACCCCTGCGCCATACACATGTGTGAGGGTATGCCAATGCGAAAAGCGCCCTTAGGACGGGCTTACATAGGGTAAACGTGTCGATGCGACAGCACGCGTCTCGAGAATGACCGTTACAGGGTGGCCCCCCACTCCCAAGGGGTGGGGTGGGGGGCCACCAAATCTCACCTGCTCCCTCGCACAAAAGCCAGACATCATCCCTTATCCCTTTCCACCCCTGCCTCTAAATTCAGTTAGGTCTCATCTGTCTACCGTCATTAATTTCATAAAAAACATTCAATTTGTCAGTTGACGTCTCAATTGATTTTAAAACTGTCATTGTTGCCTGTGAAATTATAAACAATATAAATTGTTCTCAGTTTCAAACTGCATCCTGAATAACGATAAAAAGGATGAACAGAAAATAAAGAGTGTTTATTGAACATGCGGCAAAATATTGAGGGACTATTACTTGGACTATATTCTAAGGCTATATTGTCCTTTAATGATTTTTGATAGGGCGCTTTGTTACGAAGATACGGGGCGAAAAAGAATTTCGACAATAACAATGTTGGTAATTTTAAAAGTATCAACGTAGCCAAGATAAAAGTTTAGCGTACTACACGGGACCTACCAAGTAATAAAATATCTGACGATTCCATTGGTACCAATCAACAACATTCCGATTACTTCAAATGGCTGCACACATTCAATTTGAATACTCGTAAGTGATCATTTGTATGTGTCGAATAGGTTCAAACTGATTGACTTTGTCTATTTGACGTGCATTTTCTGTGTTTAATATTTAAAGTCTTGTTAATGAAGTCCTCTATCATGAATGGCTATAGTAACGCAGAGATGGCTGACAGGCATTTCATTTATGGACTTGCTGTTGGCAATTCATTGAAGCTAGGCGGTTGTACAGTAAACGATTTCCTAATTGGCCATGATAGAAGAAGATCCAGGTACCTCTACTCGAAAAATTGCAAATACCTCAAATGTAAGTAACGGGATGGTTTGGAACATTCTTAGAAACTACTCGTTGTACCCATACCACCTACAACGAGCTCAGGCCCTTCTCTCTGCAGATTTTGTCCACATATCTATTGCATTCTGTGAACGGCTTTTGCGCACATTGGTTCAAATCCCTCAACTACTGACACTTATTATTTTTACCGATGAAGCCAGTTTCTCAGGAAATGCCATACAAATTTCCACAATAACCATGCACATGAGGTGCTTAAAGATCACTTTTAACATCAGTTCTCGTTAAACGTTTAGGTGGGAGTTGTAGGTGACTTCTTAATTGGACCGGCATTTCTGCCAGGAAGACTTACCAGCGAGGTATACCGCAACTTTTTGGAACAAACGCTACCTCAGTTTCTGGAGGATGTACCATTGCTTACAAGACATTTAATGTGGTTTATGCACGATAGTGTACCAGCGCATTTTAGCATACTGATTCGAGAGTTTTCAACAGTAACATACGGAAATCACTGGATTAGTCGAGGTGGACCTCACTTATGGCCTGCTTTATCACCGGATATCACTACTCCAGTGGAAGATGTGGAAGAATTGAGAAATCGGATAATTGCTGGGTGTAACGCAATCAGAAACGATCCTGGTGTTTTTGAAAGAGCTTGGGAGTCAATGAGGAAAAGATTGGTTTCTTGCATCCGAGCGGTGGATAGTAATTTTCAACAGTTCTTTTAGATTAAGAAACATTAAATATAATTTCTGGTAATAAATTGTTATTGCCGAAATTATTTTTCGCTCAGTATCTTCGAAAAAAAGCGACCTTTCAAATATATCCTTAGGCGCATTTATATTTGAAAAATAAGGATTGGAATATTTTTATTTTATTTTACACTCTACACTTGTGCAATGAAGAAAAGTATAGAATATTCAATTACATATTTTAATTACATATTCAACCTAAAACAGCCGTATATGCTCTGTATAGCTTTAAACAAAATATTTTCCATCTAACGGTTTGAAATTTTTATGAAACTTCAATTATACGCAACTAAATTTTTTATTGACTGTTTGTTTGAGAGGCTGTTGAAAGATGAATGAAATCTCTGAAATACACCACTAACTGTAAAGAAGGAAAATCACCAATGTCTCTTACAATGTTTCAAAATACTAATAGATATTGATAGTGAAGGCTCACTGAACTCCATATATGTGAGGTCACAAATGTTCTATCAAGAGATACAGAGGGTATCTGATAGCATCGTTGGATATATCCAAAGCATTTGGGAATTCATGTTTTGGTCTGTAAACGTATGATCTAGTTTTCTTTTGATTAGGAATTTTTGTATGATGGCTCCCAACATACTCTACAATTTATTTCTTGTAATGCTTCACAAAATCGACAATCAACCTACTCAATAGGGCATCCTGCCTAATACACAGTTCAATAGATGACAGTCATACTGTCATCTTTAATCTCGTGGAGTTCAATGCTCATATCACTTTGTAAATGGGCAGGATTGTTACTGCTAATTGTATTTGCGATGTTGCT